AAGTCCTACAGTGAACTTCCTGGCCAAGAAAGGGCCAGGTTCCAGTTCTTGCAAGTCCCAAGTAGTGCACCACCCTGGATACAACAGCTTCGCAATCTGAAAACTGACCTTGTCTCATTTCATTTTTAGAACTATAAACTCATTTGAACTTGCTGTAAATACTGAACCTGAGTCTGTTTAGATCTGTTGTTAGGAAAAGACTGATTTATGGAGACTAAGGAACTAAACTAAGATCTATTCTCTGCAGATTTATTTTGGGACTAAAAAGGCTGAAAGTCAGTTACTGGAATTAAGGTAAGAGTCTTACTGAAAGCTGAACGACACTGTTGGCAAGTCAGACCAGGGAGCCCTGAGTGCCCAGGATTGTGCCCAGGGAGTTGCGGGGAGGTGGAAATTCTGGGGCAGCAGATTGCTACAGAAACATTAAAGGGAGAAACAAGGTCAAACTAATTTCTCTGCCATTTCTAAATACAGTGCATTGTGGTAATTGCAGTGTCTGTATACAGCCAGCGTGTTGTAATGATGAGAGGGTTGGACTGGGGCTCGAGAGCTCTCTTCATGCCAGTCAGAGATTTTCAGCCTAACCTACCTTATAGGGATGTTGTGAGGATCAAATGGAGGAGCAAGTAAGATGCCTTGGGTTCTTTGCAAAAGGAAATTTGGCAGGGCATAAATGTAGTGCTGCAATAATCCAGCAAAGGTTTGTTGTAGCTGCTTTTGCTTGGTGTCTGAAGTGATGGGTTGATTTGGTTGAGCCACAGCAGAGCAAATCCAATACATTTTAGACAGCCCCATCCTAGCATCTTATAGAAATCAGTCACAGTTTTGAATGGTGCTGAACATGTGGCTGCTGCCACTTGAAGACGAGGCCTGTTTATGAAGACAAGGCATGTAGAAGTGGATGAATTATTGTCTTTTTAATTCTTCTGCCACAGACTTCTGCTAACTCTCAACCACTACACAACACTACATGCCTCTCAGGCTGGCATGCTGTGACACTACTACAGGCACAGCTGTGTAAGATGATGGATGGACTATTTTCTGTCTCCTTCCTTGCCACCTGGGTATGAAAATGTAAGGTCCATTCTCAGGTAAATGGTCAGATGGTTCCAGACCCTTCTTTAGCGATACAATACCTCATTGACCTTGACTGCCCATTACTGAGCAGTTCTGACTAGCAGCAAAGCAACTAAAGCAAAGCCCCTGCCATATCTAAGCTGCCCTTTTGGCTTCATCTTATTTGGAGAGCTTTCGAAGACACTCCTCTTCCCATCTCTCATCCCTCACACAGTCTGGCAGCCTCGTAATGCAGTCAGAAGATCAGTGATCTGGACATCTGGAAGCACCCCTGGGATAGTCTGTGCTGGGGGTTGGTCCCTGCTGGCAGTGGGGGGGGGGGCTCCCATTCCTGTTTTCAGCAGCTGCTGCCCCACACAGAGCTCTGCCTGTGAAGGGCCTGACATTTTCTGAATGTGCCACACAAAGGAATTGAGGATCTAAGGATTAGTGGAAATACCACTGTCTTTGGGCTTCTGTGCAGTGGAGTCAGAATATGGGAGCTGGTGAAATGAAACTCTCCTGATCCAACAGCAGGCATGCAGCTCTGCAAGCTGCAGCCCAATGTGCATTTCGGGTGTGATCTGGACGGTGTTGCCACTCCTTGCCAGAGTCAGGCAACTTTTGGGAGTCGTGGGGAGCAGGGCAAAGCACCCGTAGGCTGCTCCCCACATTTGCTTGAATGGCTTTCCTTTGTGACTACACAGGCCATTCCCACAATCCAGCTTGTGCAGGAGGTCCCAGGACAGCTTGGGGGAGGCCAGCTTTGGTTGGCAATGTCCGGAGAGCCCTTTCCCATACATCACAGTGAACTCCATTTCTCACTTGATCTTCTGCAGCAGGCCCTCACTTGCTCTGGGATTTTTCTGTTTTTGTCTGGTGGGAATCACCAGTGTTCTTGTCTCTGACGTGTTTGCCCTTCTTCCTCAGGAGAGGCAGGGATTCAGTTGCCCCATGTGCAAGCAGGTGCCCCTCTTGGAGGAGATGTGGAGTCGGAGGGCCATGAGCAGGGCCGTCGTAATGCATGGGCATGATGGGCACTTGCCCGTGGGCCCCATACTAATCTGTGTATGTTAACCCTTGGAAAATTGGAAAACTAGTTGTAGTTGTCGTAGGGGCCCCAGTACACTGCTTTGCCCGGGGCCCATAATGCTGTTAAAACGGCCCTGGCCATGAGGGCTCTCCAGGCCCCCCAGGAGCTCCCCCCCTCCAAACAGAAGGTTGAGGGAGGGGCAGAGGGAGACACAGCCAGGGAGACATGGAGGCATGTCACCCACAGCAGGAGGAGGCCAGCACAACCTCCTCCATTTCCTGGCACTGACCAGGAGCTGGGAAACAGGTTTTCTCTGCTTGGGGAGGCTGAGTCTGATGAGGACCTGAGGGACCGGCCTGTCCAGGGTCTCCAGTTGCAGCCAGGGGGCCACTGCAGGAGAGGTGAAGGTCAAGGCACAGTCGTCTACTGCCAGAGACAGTAGCGGATGATCAGTGGTAGCTGAGGTTGGGAATAGCATCAAAGCAGGGCGGGTCCAAAATAATTTGCAGCCTTGAGTGAAGGTAGCCCTTTCCCACATTCCATGCACCAAAGCAAACCTGTCCAGCTGTGGAATCTTAGACACATAGAAACAGAGCGAATCAGAAGGGGCCTCCTGGGCCATCTAGTCTGACCTCCAGCACCAGCCGGCTCTGCTCACGACATGCCCACCATGTGGACGTCCAGCCTATCCTTGAACACCCGCACCGATGGAGCCTCAATGACCTCTCATGGAAGCACATTCCACACCCTCGGGGTCCTGACTGTCAGGAAGTGCTTCCTGGCATCCAAATGGAACATTGGCTCCCTGAGCTTTGCTCCATTGGAGCGCGTCCTGCCTTCCTCTGCAGGGGAGAACAGGTCTCTACCCATCTCCATGTGACATCCCCTCACAAATCTGTATGTTGCCAACATATCCCCTCTGAGTCTCCTCTTCTCCAGGCTGAAGAGACCCATTTCCCTCAGTCTCACCTCATACCCCATCCCTGGCTAACTGGCCACCAACCTTGTGGCCCTGCGCTGCACTGACTCTAACCTGGATATATCCGTTCTGTAATGAGGGGCCCAAAACTGAGCACAATACTCCAGTTGCGGGCGCACCAGAGTCATGTAGAGTGGTAGTAATACCTCTCGTGATCTAGAAGCCACACTTCTGGCTATGCAACCAAGGGTGGCGTTCACCCTCTTGGCTGCTGCATCACACTGCTGACTCATGTTTAGCCTGTAGTTGACCAGCATCCCAAGATCCTTTTCATAAGTGCTGCTCTCCAGCCACTTGTCATCTAACCTGTACTTATGACAGCTATTCCTATGCCCCAAGTGCAAGACCTTGCACTTATCCACATTGAACGCCATCCTGTTGTCTCCTGCCCACTTCCATAGTCTGTCCAGATCCTTTTGGATCTGGACTACCTGCTCCTCAGTTGTGGCCACTGCTCCAGTTTTAGTGTCATCTGCGAATTTGATCAGCAGACTGTTCACCCCTTTTTCCATGTTGTTAATGAAAAGATTAAATAGGATCGGCCCCAGGACAGAGCCCTGGGGGACCCCACTTGTCACTGGCCGCCATCCCGATGATTCCCCGCTAATGGTTACCTTCTGCTTTCAGTCAGTCAACCATGCCCTAATCCACCGGACAGTGCTTTGGTATATCCCAAAACTCCTCAGTTTCTCCACCAGGATATCATGGGGCACTTTGTCAAAGGCCTTGCTGAAATCCAGGTAAACCACATCCACTGCATCCCCTCCATCTAGCCATCGCGAAACCTTGTCATAGAATTCCACAAGGTTTGTCTGGCAGGACCTGTTTTTGCGGAAGCCATGTTGTGTGGCTGTCAGCCTCCCTTCCCTATCTAGCATCACTAGATCTCTCTCTATTATGAGCCTTTCCATTGTTTGTCCTACAATGGACACAAGGCTAACCAGTCTATAATTCCCCATGTTCCTTCTACTACCATTTTTGAAAACTGAATCTTGATTCAGCATTGGCAGTGTGGAATGGTCCTTTACTGCTTCAAGACCTCAGGCTACCTTAAGGGCAGAGTGTAGATGGAACAGCACATGAAGCTCATCCCCTAATGTTTTGCCACTTGAACTAATGGTAGAAACAGCCCTGGGTCTCTTAAATCTGATCATGATCAGAATCAGGTGTTTTCTGGAATGAAAAACAAATACCTTGATTAAACAGGAAATTCTAACCAAAAAAGGGAAATTGAAGAATATTTATACATGCAGCCATTCTACCCAGCCATATGCCTTTCTGAAATTTTCTCTTCATGAATGTAGAGCATCCTCAGGTTGAAAAAGCAGAATCTCTTTCCATAGCCAAACTGTCTTCCAGCTTCGCTGTACTCAGCCAATAACCTTCAGCAAAAAATAGCCGTATTATATCCTGGTACCATCGTGTATGCCTAACAAGTCTGTAATTAAGAGTGCAAGCTGTCAAACATGTGCCTGAGGTATGAAAAGGAAAAAGAAGAAATGCACCAAACAGACCCTGCTTTGCATCTCCTGTCTGTTAAGTGTTAATGACTGGAACAGTTTCAGGCTGTGTGGCAAGGCAGCTTTTTCTGCCCTCCTGTGGCATTTCTCTGAACCCCATGCTGGAAAGGAAACTTCCCACTGGCCACTTAAAGGGTGCTAATAAGGAACTGCTCATTAGCATGGCAATCAAAGTTGCCTTGGTTATTAAGACAACGAAATCTGCCAGCTATCCAGCAGAGAGGAGCTATTCATTGCTATTGCTTTTGGTTGTTGCCTGGACCCTTTGATTTCTTCTTGTTCTCTTCCATTTGGCGTTCCATCTTACTGTCGTCCCGTTCCCATTCCACTCTCAAGCAACTGCAAGGAGAATAACTTTTAAAGAAAAATTGCAATAGCAAGAGGACAGAGAAAAACAAGGAAACCTACTTACATGTAGCGTAAATGAGGGTTCTTATCAAATGCTCGTGGTTGAATGCTCTTGAGCCCTGAATCTTTGATTGTCCTGTAAAGATAGGCAAAAAGGACAGTGAAGGAAGAAAGCTCAGAGATGGACAGGCAAAGTTCCACCTTCAGCACAATTTGAGGGAGTGGATGGGAAACTGTTGTTCCAAGTTGAAACCAAGGTGGCAAGAAACAAATTCTCTGGAAACCATGAATATAAGCAGAAACAAGGACTTAAGCCCAGCCCACCCTTGAGAGAGCAGGGACTAGGAACAGGCAAATTGGACAATTTTGCTTATTCTCACATTAAGAACTGTTCATTTGCCAATTACATTTCTCCTAAATATGAACTTCACAGAAGTTGGTAAATTCTCATAAGTATGATCTGGAATGCCATGTTTACCTGTCTGCACCAGCCAAATTCAATAGGCACAACTAATCCCAGCAGGGATTATGGCTCTGCACCACTGCAACTTTGCCATGGAGTTCCGCAGGGTTCTGTTTTATTCCCCATGCTTTTTAACATCTACATGAAACTGCTAAGAGGTTTGGGCTGTGGTCAGCAGTATGCTGATGACACCCAGCTCTACCTCTCTTTTACATCTAGTCCAGGAGAGGCAGTGGCCACCCTTAACCGGTGCCTGGCCAGGGTAATGGGTTGGATGAGGGACAATAAATTGAGGGTCGGTCCAGATAAGATGGAGGTCCTGCTGGTAGACGGTTCAGCCCTACAGGTCTGAAGGACAGGGTGAACGGTTTGGGAGTCTCCCCGATCTGGAGCTGTCCCTGAAATCCCAGGTGGCGGCAGAGGTGGTGAGGCGTGCCTTTTTCCAGCTTTGGCTTGTCTACCAACTGAGACCTTACCTGGATGAGCAGTGCCTTGCAACAGTGACCCACACTATGGTAACTTCCTGACTGGAGTATTGTAACACGCTCTATGTGGGGCTGCCCTTGAAGACGGTCCAGATACTTCAGTTGGTTCAAAATAGAGCTGCCAGGATATTAGTGGAGACCTGCAGGTATTCATACATAATGCTGGTCCGTTATCATTTACGCTGGCAACCAATTGAAGTCTGGGCCCAATTTAAGGTGCTGGTGATGACCTATAAAGCCCTAAATGGCTTAGGTCCTGGATACCTGAAGGCGCGCCTTCTTCCCTATGTGTCCTCCCACCCCTTGAGATCTGAGGCAGGGGTCCTGCTCCGGGAGCCATCCTTGAAAGAGATCAGGAGGGTGACTACCTGGAGGAGGGCCTTCTCTGTGGTGGCACCCTGACTGTGGAACATGCTCCCCAGAGAGGTTCGCCTGACACCAACACTTCTTTCCTTTCGGTGTCAGGTGAAAACCTTTTATTTCTCCCAATATTTTAATTGTTAACCTGTTTTAACTGGTGGTTTTATATTCAACATCAAATGCTGTGCAACTGCTACTCTTATGTATATTTTTATTCTATTTCATTCATCTGTTGTGAACCGTCCTGAGACATCTGTGAAAAGTTTTAAACAAATAAATGGAAAGGACTCTAACAGACCTGTCTGCCATGAGTCCATTTACTGTAAGAAGCCTGTCAGAAAGAGCAGAAGCGATAACCCTAAAGTGCCAACAGGAATGTATGCCGAAGTGGTGACTTGTGCCTACGACTTTGCTCATCAGATTGCAAGTCATTGTACCACTTTGGACACTCCATCATGCTGGCCTTCCTTGCATGCTGAAGTGATGCATTCAAGATGCATTCAAGCACCTCAGCTACTGCTTCTGGAAACTACCCAGCCCCCTGCCCCCACTTTCTCCAGTCGGTTAAGTCAAGTTCCCCATTTGCAAGGAGATGTCACAAGGTGCAGAGGAGTTGCAGCAGATAAATGAAACTAAGTTTGTTCTTGGAGAAGGTAAAAAATCCCACAATAAACTCAAATAAGTGTTAATGTCTAGGAATCCAACCCATGGAGTCTGCCATAAGCTAGTTTTTTTTTTCTGAATTCCATAGAGATGTTCTTTAAAATTTTCCATAATTTTACACAAATCTAGTATTCTGAGGTATGTGCACTTGCAATTTGCCAGTACTTTTCTACCTAAGGATCTGTTTCTATGCATGTCCAGACAGAAAGAATCCTACAACTATTATATCGAATTATTGTTATTTCTTGTTCTGACCTATAGGTATATAATGCCAAACAATATCTTTATACAGTTTGGAGTGATACCCCTTTTTGGCAAAGAGTAAATGGCCACTCTAGTCAGCACCCTAGTCCTACAATTCATTAAAAACCTTCAACAAAGAAAGCAAACAACAGAAAATATGCATTTCCATGCCAACTCTAAATCTGAACTGATCTGAACAAGCAACTTAAGATGCTTACATAGAGAATTCCTACAAAAGGCATTTGCTTATCAGCTTTAAGTTTCAGGGAAGGTCACCAGAGTGGACATTTTTCTGCTGATCTGTAATCATACAGAAACTAATACAGTGAAGGTTTTTTTTCCTTTCTTTCTTCCTCCCACTTTTTCACTCCCCCAACAACTATTTTCAGCAAATCAATCAATCAATGCATAAAAATTGGAAACAGCATGCTCCCATGAGCAGAGACTTGATCTTCTTGTTTTTTTATGGTAGGGCCAGGAACCATCACTTGGGTGTGTGCGGGGGCATCTCTGGTAGCCCCAGTTCCACTCTGCCACTGAGTCCTACATAGCCTGGTACTTAATCAGGCAACTGCAGGGATAGCTCTGTGGCTCAGAGCACTGCTCTGCACTCTACCAGGTAATCCTGGCAGCAGTGCAACCTGCTGGCAATTTGAAAGGAGGTCACCAAAATGCAACAGAAAGTCAAGCAACAGCTCCCAGTTTGCAGAGATGATGGATCCCACATCCTTTTGCTTTAAGTGGCCCATTTTAAAAGCTCTAGAATCTTTCATTTTACTGACAGCATCATGAAATAGTCATTCTTGAAGACTGCCCAGACAGCTTTTAGAAATTAATAATAATAATAATAATAATAATAATAATAATAATAATCAGATATTGAGCTGTGAGCTGTGTTAAAGGGATTGTGTGGTGGTCAGATGGTGATTCCCATAGAGAAGCAGAACTAGCAGAAGGCCTTCCAATGTCATTGGTTGAAAGAGAAAGAGACCCAGTGTGGTGTAGTGGTTAAGAGCACGGGACTGGGACTCAGGCGATCTGGGTTTTAGTCCCTGCTCAGCCATGGAACCAACTGGGTGACTTTGGGCCACTCACAGACTCTCAGCCCAACCTATTTATTTATCTATTTATTTATTAAAACATTTTTATGCCGCCCCATTCGCCTCGGGGCAGCTTACAATGTTAAATTAAAAAATAATTATAACATTAAATTTAAAAATATACAAACATTAAATTAAAATGCAAAAATAACAATATAAAATATAAAATAAGTCGCCCTGGCCAGATACCTCACAGGGTTGTTGTTCTGGGGATAAGATGGAGGAGGAGAATGATGTAAGCTGCCTTGAGCCCTTTGTAGGAAAAAGGCAGGATATAAATGAAAAAGTAAGTAATTAAGAAAGAAGAAAAAAGTGTATTTCAAGCCATCCTCCTCCTACATCAAAAAGGCCCCCGTGGCCTTACCTTGGGGGAGGGGTAGCAACAGCACTCTGATTGCAAGAAGACCCCATGGAGGGGGCTACAATTCGCAGGCCTCCAAATATTTTGTCCCACAGCTCATCACCATAATGGCTAGGGGTCCTACGTCAAGTCTTGCATTCAAGGAGATGTCAAATGAAGGAGACTTCTATCTGAATGGCTGGCCAGTCCAAGTCCAGTCTGAGCCATCCAAAGAGCCATCCAAAGGAAACGCAAGAGTCATCTCCAACATGCTTCATCACCATGCCAAAGACACCTGCAGTGCAGGTTGGGGTTAGTGTTATAAAGTCAAGACATCCGTTCTGCTGAGTTCGGCAGACCAGTCTGTTTTCAGAAATTAAAGAAACAAGCCTGGCTAGTTTTGTTTGGGTCAGCTGGAAACCGTAAGTGATAGGGAAGCGCTTCCAGAATTCAAATTCAGAATATCCTTCCTGGATTCCAAACTTCCACATACACTTCCAAACCACTTCCTGCAAATCCAGAATACTCACAGTCTCTGGAGTCCTGTATACAGCTCCATGTCTACGGCATGCAGTGTCTGCAAATTCCTCCATTTCTCTATGTGTCTGTGGAGAGAGGCAGGGGTAAGTTGTGGGCTTTCACATAACAAGACAGCTGTCCAACCTGTGTAAAAACCATCTGCTACTGACCAGCAGTACTTGCAGCCACTCCCCCCTCCCCCTGGTAGCATCCTAAAGGAAATCATTCCACTTTCAATGTTGCCCAAACTGCCTTTCCCCCAGCTTCCCCATTAACCCTATGGACATGCCAAGAGCAAGCTAATGTCCACATGGGGCTGGGGCATTTCTCAACATGATAACAAAAGGAAGCATTGCCAAGTTGCTTTTCCCACTCACATTGCTGTAGATTCTCAGGCCCACAGCCAGTTCTCCAAGGGGTTCCCAGAAGCCTAACCCTTATCCCTTGGTGGCTTCCCAGCTTGGGTGCTGGCTTTCCCTAGCCCTATTCTAGAAGATGTCTATCCTAAGGTTTAGGAACATTCAGTAAAACTTTCCGTTCAATTAAGTGGTCCTTCTCTCAAATGGAATTCAACCCATAAAATAGGGACACTGAGCCTCTTTAAGGCTATGTTGACCATGTTCAATGACAACAAGCAGGGGACCTCGGAGTTTGGCAAACATTTTCACCTGCCCTTTCCTATCGGGTTCACATGGGCAACACAACCTTGGGGGTGCGGGGAAAGCACTAAGGTAGCCTTGTTTAGGGTAGCAGCAAACTGTTCTTTTTTTTTCCTTTTTCATTTTTTGGGCTGCTGCTGCAATTTTTGCCTACTCCTGTTTGAGTCAACTTATTCACTAGATAAATAAGTTAAAAAGATGTTGACAGCAAGTCTCCCTATCTTTTTTGTCAGTGGATTTTTTATTTCTTGCGTATTTCTGGCAAGCAACGCAGATGCGGACGGCTCTGCTAGAAGGGGCATTGCCTCTTGGCATGGGCTCGCAAAGGTGATGCTTCATACAGGGATGTACCTGCTTAAGACCTTAAGACTGATTTCCTGCCTGCTGTTCATCCAAGGATCAGAAGTGGGACATTCGGGGAGGGGGATTGTGGACTTCCATTTCTCTCATGTATTACAATTTGTTCGTGCTTTTTAACCTCTAGGAAATCTGTGCAGCGAAGTACCCAAAAGCCACATGGATCTAACATTAGTTGTGCAGAATTCCCTGACTTTGTGCAAATACTGAAATTTGAACAAATTGTGATTCCTGCTAAAGTCACATGGTTTTAGGTTGCTTAGTTGTACAAATTTCATGATTAGTTTAGAAATAATAATAAAACACAGTCCTTCACAGCTTACAGGCAGAAGTCTGTGAAGTGCTGATTCACAGCACAGCCAGCCAGTGCCAGTACAGGGTTAACAAACCTGAATCTGGAAGTGAGAGGTGAATCTCACACCCTCTCAGATTTGTCAAACATCCCTAGCTTCACACAATGCACATACACACCATTTAAAAGCAAGCTTAGCACTTTTCTTTAGAATGACTATGTCCCCCATATCTGCAAATGGATGCATAGTTACTTTACTTCTTTTCTATAAAGCAGCACATGCCAAGCAATTCATCAGCTTTGAGCAGCAATAGACTAATCTATCTGTTTCAGTTTCTTCTAACCTGGGCCAAACATTGAAATTTAGTTTGCATGAGAATTCATAAGCATTTTTATTTCTGGATGGAAGTCACCCTGGGAATTTTGTTTAGGAATCAGCAGGGTTTAATGGTTAGAGTTTTGGACTGAGACCAAAAGATTTGGTTTCTAGTCCTCATGCACTGGAGACTTCATGCCAGTCACAACCTGTCGGCTTAAATTAATTCACAGGATTCTTGTCAGAACAAATTGAAGCGGGGAGGAGGAAGATCATGTAAGCTACCTTGGGTTCCTTGCAAGAGGTAAAACGGTGGCATATGAAGGCAACAAAGAAAACGAATAAATAAAATATAAGAGGACAACTATAGTCTAAACCCATCAAAGAAAAAGAATATAGACATGTGCAAAATTCTTTGTCTTAAAGCAACAACACAAATCACAGTCTATTTTAAATAAAGGTCAACTTGGTACCCATCTTGGGTAGATAAACTGGAATCCAGGGGAGCTAGTTGGGTTAACCCCCTGATTTTTACAACCATCCCCAAGCAGATTCCTTTAACACCTCTTATTAGAACCTTTCTTCATCTTGGAATTACTCCAGCCTCTTGATCATTTCAGTTTCCCTTTTCACACGGAGATGGGTAGAGACCTGTTCTCCCCTGCAGAGGAAGGCAGGATGTGCTCCAAAGGAGCAAAGCTCAGGGAGCCAAGGTTCCATTTGGATGCCAGGAAGCACTTCCTGACAGTCAGGACCCCGAGGGTGTGGAATGGGCTTCCACGAGAGGTGGTTGATGCCCCATCGGTGCGGGTGTTCAAGGATAGGCTGGACATCCACATGGTGGGCATCTTGTGAGCAGAGCCAGCTGGAGCCAGGGGTCAGACTAGATGGCCCAGGAGACCCCTTCTGACTCATTCTGTTTCTATGTTTCTGTATTCTCCTGGAGCTGACATTATCTATCTGGTAGCTCACAAACTAGGAAAGTATAGCGGAGCTAACAGATCTCATACACCCTCCTGTGCTGAAATCCATATTTTAACAAGGAACAGTGTGAAGAAAAACTTCATTTCATCTATCCTGAATCTCGCACCCATGGCATTCACTCACATGAAATACATGAGGTAGAGGAAACTGACTTTGAAAGCAGTTTAAAATTAAATAACAAATGAGTTAAAGGAGGACTAAACAAAGATAAGGAAATTGCGGAGAAGTTGCATGAATTCTTTCCAGCTGTCTTCCGTGCAGACAATGCTAGACTGATAAGTTTTTTTCCAGGCTAGCAATGGCCAATGGGCAGCACATAGGGTACACCGTACTCCCCCTCCTGCACAGATGTGCTACCTGTGGTGCTCCTACAGATCGGAAAGGTCCCTGCCATTCAGATAGTCAACAACAGTGTCTATAAACGTCCATTCTGAATGTTCAGTTTTTCTGCTAGTGAAGTAGTGCTTTTTGTGCAGCACTGTCAGGCATCCGCTATCTTAACTGGGCCTTTATTATAGCAATCTCCATGAGTCCAGGGCATTCTAGCGGGCATGTTATGAAAGAAGGGAAACTGAAATAGATCTGTCAGTTTAGTGTGTTGCGTTATTCTGTGGATATTAGAGCTGGCCTGACAGCTTCAGAGAGAGTGCAGTGTCACATTCATCCATATGATAAAGAGCAAGCCAAGCTCTCTCCTGCAGGCATCACACCATTTTAACAAGCCCAAGACCTGACCTAACCGGACCCCCACCTAAAGTTGTGTGAAAACGTTGTGCTCTTGTCCTCCCACTCCTCTGTTGTTTCCAGGAGGAGTCAAGTGAAGTTTCAGACAAAGACTCTCTTGATAGAGTCAAAAGGAACACTCCCTAATCAAAAGTCTTCAAACCAGTCATGTTTTGTGTGTAAAATATCTCATTTTAATGCAGTGGGACCTAGTTTCTCCATCTGGAGATGGAGGATCTAGCATTCCATATCAGATTGCCTGATCCACTCTCATCCTGAACCAATTCTCAGAAATACGTTATTTATGGATTCAAGGCAAAGGTTTACTAATCAGCATACATTCAGTTCCATCCAAATTTTCCAATCATTCTCAAGTTTAAATATGCATGACATTTCACATTTTCATATACAACTTCTCCTAATACATTTTCATATACAACTTCTCCTTTTTGTTGTGAGCCGCCCCGAGGCTTTGTTGAGATGGGGGCGGCATAAAAATGTTTTAAATAAATAAATGAATAAATAATACACATAGTTTTCTAGATATTTCCGCCAGTGCATATATTTGCGCACAATGGCTCCTAAAACTCCCCAAGGCCGGGGCAACTTCTTCTTCCTTCTCTTTCTCCTCCTATATTTTTATTTTATACTGATAATTTTAATTTTGTATTTGTAAATCAATGTATTTTTTGTATTTTTATATTTAATGGTAATTTATTATGTACTATTGTATTTCAATGTATTTTATCATGTTGTAAGCCGCCCCGAGGTTTCGGCAAGGGGCGGCATAGAAATGTTATAATAATAATAATAATAATAAAAAAAATGCATTTCTGCATGCAGCTTTGAGACAAACTTTATTACAAGATTTGGAGTCATGCACAAACTGGAAGATAACTGTTCCAATCTGCATATTAGTCCAGGAAGTGCAAATTTTATCATTTCATTTTAAAATAAGAACCAAAAAAAATGTTCCTTCCTAAGAAACCTGCAACTGCCAGACAAGTATTCTCTTCACAAAGGCAAGGCCTGCCTATTTTGGTGCTTTGGAGGGGTGGGGGGTGGATAATTTTCCCACTGACAGGAAACTTGGCTCAGCCAATGGTCACAAGTGTCCAGGAAACGAACTATCTGTAAGTCCCTTTCATCTGTCATAGGAAAACAAAGCTTAGTGCTGCTTTGGGCTGGTGATCTGCAAAGGTTCTGCAGTTATGGTGCAGAAGTGGACACCTGTACAGGAAGGGGGGGCAGGGACACATGCTATTCCCCACAGTGTAAAGAGGGCTGGGAGAACCATGGGTGTTTAAGCCCATTGAAATTCTCATAGTTTCATCTCAAAGCTAAGTCTGGCTCACTCCAATTCTCATTTGAGATTCGTTGTTCATTCAAATTGGAAAAATGTGTACCTGAAGTGTGGAAAGTGTGTATTTTTTCCAAAGGACACATTTGTCCTTCATTGACTAAACAGTAGCATTTAGAAGCACACAGCATTTAATCAACAAAAGTTGAGGGATTTGTAAGTTTTGGAGATCATCTGCTCCTGCCCAGGGTTGCAAGCCAGGTATTTCTGAGGGAACTGAAACTACCACGCAACACGGATTCCGCAAAAACAGGCCCTTCCAGATGAACCTCGTGGAATTGTATGACGAGGTTTCAAGGTGGCTGGACAGACGGAACGTGGTGGGTACCTGGATTTCAGCAAGTCCTTTGACAAAGTGCCCCATGATATCCAGGTTGAGAATTGAGGAGTTTTGG